TCTTCTTCTTCTTCTTTGTTGTCGTCATCTCCTTCTTCTTCTTCTCCTCCTTCTTCTTCTCCTTCTTGTTCTTTCTTCTTCTTCTTTCTTCTTCTCCTTCTTCTTCGTCGTCTTAGTTTTCTTCATCATCTTCTTCTTCATCATCTTCTTCTTCGTCGTCTTCGTCATTGTCTTCTTCGTCGTCGTCTTCTTCTTCTTCTTCGTCGTCTTCTTTGTCATCGTCACCGACTTCTTCTTCGTCTCATTGTCTTCTTCGTCTTCATCGTCTTCTTCTTCATCGTCGTCTTCTTCTTCATCTTCTTCGTCGTCGTTGTCTTTGTCGTCTTCATCGTCGTTGTTGTCTTCTTCTTTGTCGTTGTTGTCATTGTCATCTTCTTCTTCTTCTTCATCATCGTCTCCTTCTTCTTCTTCTTCTCCTTCTCCGTCTTCTTTGTCGTCATCATCTCCTTCTCTTCCTTCTCCTTCTTCTCCTTCTTTTTCTCCTCTTTCTTTCTTCTTTTTTTCTTTTCTTCCTTTTTCTTCTTTCTTCTTGTTTCTTTTCTTCTTTTCTTCTTCTTCGTTTTCTCCTTCTTCGTCGTCGTTGTCTTCTTTGTCTTCATCGTCGTTGTCTTCATCTTCTTCATCATCGTCGTCTTTTTCTTCATCGTTGTCTTCTTTGTCTTCTTCATCGTCGTCTTCCTCTTCTTCTTCGTCTTCATTGTCGTCATCTTCTTCTTCGTCGTCTTCTTCGTTGTGTTTGTCGTCTTCTTCATTGTCGTCATCTTCTTCTTCGTCATCTTCTTCGTTGTGTTTGTCGTCTTCTTCGTCTTCTTTGTCTTCTTCGTCGTCGTCGTCTCCTTCTTCTCCTTCTTCTCTTTCTTCTTCTTTCTTCTTCTTCTTTCTTCTTCTCCTTCTTCTTTCTTCTTAGTTTTCTTCTTCTTCTTCATCGTTGTCGTCATCTTCTTCTTCGTCATCGTCATCTTCTTCTTCGTCGTTGTCTTCTCTTCGTCTTCTTCATCATCTTCTTCATCGTTGTCTTCTTGTCATCTTATTTTTTATCATCTTTGTCTTCTTCATTGTCTTTGTCATCTTCTTTGTCGTCTTGTCGTCTTCTTCTTTGTCATCATCTCCTTCTTCTTTCTTCTTCTCCTTCGTCGTCATCTTAGTTTTCTTCGTCTTCTTCCTCATCATCTTCATCTTCTTCTTCATCGTTGTCGTCTTCATTTTCTTCATCATTGTCATCTTCTTCATCATTGTCTTCTTCTTCTTCGTCATCTTATTCTTCGTCACCTTCATCGTCTTCTTCGTCGTCGTCTTCCTCTTCTTCTTCGTCTTCGTTGTCATCTTCTTCTTCCTCTTCGTCATTGTCTTCTTCTTCTTCATCTTCTTCTTATTCATCGTCGTCTTTGTTGTCTTCTTCTTCATTGTCTTCGTCTTCTTCTTCTTTGTCATCGTCTCCTTCTCCTCCTTCTTCTCCTTTCTTCTTCTTCTTATCGTCGTCTTAGTTTTCTTCATCTTCTTCTTCTTCACTGTCGTTGTCATCCTCTTCTCCATCGTCGTCTTCTTATTCATTGTCTTCATCGTCTTCTTCTTCGTCATCTTCGTCTTCGTCGTCGTCGTCTGCTTCTTCGTCATCATCGTCTTCTTCGTCGTCTTCTTCTTTGTTGTCTTCTTCTTCTTCGTCATCATTGTCTTCTTCATCGTCTTCCTCTTCGTCGTCTTCATCATCTTCGTCTTCATCATCATCATCTTCTTTGTCATCTTCGTCTTCTTTGTCGTCTTCTTCGTTGTTGTGTTTGTTGTCATCTTCTTCGTCATTTCCTTTGTCATCTTCTTCGTCTTCTTCTTCGTCTTCATCATCGTCTTCTTCGTCGTCGTCTTCGTTGTCTTCTTCTTCATCATCGTCTTCTTTTTTGTCATCATCTTCGTCTCCTTCTTCTTCGTCGTCTTCTTCATTGTTGTCGTCTTCTTTTTTGTAGTCGTCGTCTCCTTCTTCTCCTTCTCCTCCTTCTTTTCCTCCTTCTCCTTCTTCTTCTTGTTTCTTTTGTGTGTGGTCAGTCCTGATCCTAATTCTTCAAGTTCTTACTCTTCAGGAAAGAGGGGCTGCTTGACTTGTATCCCTGCTGCTCCTTTCTGCAGCTCTGTGACTCGCCCTTGCCAAACTGCAAGGGATGTTTTTTCAAGCTAAACTAAAGAACTCATCAGCCTGCTCCTGGCTACACATGTGCATTGTGTTCATGCTTCTGAGCATTAAGATTCAGAAAAATAAAATAAAATAAAAT